AATAACAGGAGCATTATATATTGATAACAAAAACTTAGAAGGAGATTTAAAAATAGAAGGTTTTACTAATTTAGAAAATTTATATTGTTACAATAATAAACTTACTGATATAAATATAAGTAAATGTCCAAAACTAAAGTCGCTAAGGTGTTATAATAATAAACTTAGTGAGTTAGACTTAAGAAAAAATAATCAGCTTGAAGAAATCAATTGTTCTGATAATCAGCTTGAAGAAATAAAGTTTGAAAAGTTGCCTAATCTAGTTTCTTTAGACATTAGGAATAACAATTTTGCCAAGAATGACTTATCTTTTTTTGAGAAATTTACCAAATTAGAAGAACTTTACTTAGGAAACAATGATGGCAAAAAAATCAAAGCAGGTAATTATAATAAATTCTATGGTTCTTTAAAGCCTTTGGGGAAACTAGATTGGTTAAAAAAAATAGATATTTCTAATACTGATATTGATTCTGGCTTAGACTATTTGATAGAAAATGATATAGAAGAAATTTATTGTTCTGCTGAGGAAAGAGATACAAGTTCTTTAAGCGAAATAATAAAGGAGTTAAAAAAAGAATCGAGTGAATTTTCTCTTTCTAATGGCAAATATGTGAGAAAAAATAACTTTGCTTTTGATCCATTGTCGGAAAAATTAAAAAGGAAAGACGCTCAAAGTTGACTAGATGAAGAATATCCTAAAAATGGGGCATGTCGCGGAGTTTTTAGTTTAGAAGATAAAGGTAAAGAAAGAAAAGACGTTGAAGAATTAGATATTAGCGGGGAGGAATTAAAGGGCATACTAAGTTTGGACGGCTTTGACAGCCTGAAATACTTAGCTTGTCGCAACAACCAACTAACTGAAATTGACCTGCGTGCTTGTTCAAAATTGGAGGGCGTTGATTGTCGAAACAACAAATTGAAGAGTTTGCTGCTTAGTGCGGGTATGAAGTTAAAAGAATTTAATGGTTCTAACAATGAATTTACTGGCATAGAAAGCATTTGTAACAGCATGAACCCCGAAAGCCTGACTTTTTTCGACATTAGTGATAATAAAATTTCTGATAGTTGTAGAATTGATATTTTTAATAAGTTTCTTAAATTAAAGAGTTTATACATTGGTAATGAAAAAGGAGAGGGGAATGAATTTAAAGGGTCAGTGCAAGATTTAAAAAATTTGAAAGAGTTGTTTGATATTGATATTACTTGCACCAAAATTAAGATCGGAAATTTTAACGAACTACCAGAAAAATTAGAAGAGATTTATTGTAACAAAAATGAGTCTATTTCTGAACAAGAATCGGAGGAAATGCTAAAAGATTTAGAAAGTTACTATATCGGAAGGGATAAGTTTTATGACGTAAGAGCATGGCGTGATGGGAAACCGAGGGATATTAAAATAAATAAGATAGTAAAAGTTCCACTTCTTTCAGAAAACAAAAGTAGACATGATATAAGCAGAATTGAAGAAAATTATGATTTTAAAAAAGTAAAGTATGATGAAGAGAACGGAGCAGTTTATCCATTGGAGACAAATTTTGAGTGAAAAACTAGCGGGTCTTCCTCATTAAGTAAATTACCACTTAGACTTTGTTGTATCAGTAACGAATCTGATGAAAGTGGAGAACCAAAAATCGAGATAAAAACAAGAATTAATTGTGCCGATAAAGCAAAAAGTTATGCAATTTTATCTTATTCTTGAGGCGGAAAGGCAGATGAAAGTATAAAATGGAGTCTCAAAAATGCTCAAGAAAGGTTGAGTTTAGGAGGGAAAAAAGCTCTCAAAAAAGTTATTGAAGCTTTGAAGATTCTTAAGAACAAGCATAATTTAGATGTTAAATATTTCTGAATGGATCAATTATGCATTGATCAAAATAATCCTAAGGAGAAGGGACATGAAGTTACTAGGATGAGAGAGTACTATGGCAACGGTACCGTAACTTTAATACCGATAAATACAAATATTGGCGAGGAAACCATTAGAAAATTAATAAGGTCTTTTGAACCGGGCGAAAGTGGACTCATCTATCCCAATAAAATAATTGAAAATTCCTTACCAATTTTAGAAAAAATAATCGGCTCGGAGTGATTCTCTCGTTCCTGAACTTTCCAAGAAGGATTATTAAGTAAACAAACTATCTTTATGTTTGATGATTACTTAATTGATGGGAGATTTATGGCTCTGATCTGAAAGTTAAGGCAAGTTTCGGAGGTTCACTATGACGAATGTAAGAGAATAAAAGAGTTATGCGAAGAGAAATCTGCAACTCCAGTAGGATGAACGTATTTTAAGGAAGGGTATAATTCTAGCGAAGAAGTATCGTTAAGACTAAATGAAGCACTTCGGGCAATTAGGGACAGAAAGAGGAGTGTAGTGGTCGACGGAATCTACTCAATAATTGGACTATTAACTTATGGTGAAAGGATAAGAGTTGACTACGGAAAAGACCCGGAATCAGTGTTGCGGGAAGTTATGCTAGTTGCTGTTAAAAATGGTTATGGTGAGCCTTTATCGTGGCATGGCGTGAGTAGCAGAACACCAGGGCTGTGCTGATTACCAGAGATAAATGCTATTAGTGGGGAAACGAGTATAACGGGAGTTATAAATATTGATTACCAACTCAAGAAAGGAAAGTTTAGTTTTAAACAAAATAGAGGCATCAAAATACTAGCTTCAGAGTATGTTATTTGTGACGTTGAAAAAAGCAGCGGCATATATAATTTAGACAGAGAAGGAATAGTGGATGGCAACCTTTGAATGAGAAAAGTATGAATAGGAAGTGAAAATAGTAAAAGAGAAAAATTAACTTTATCAGGAACTAAGGAAGGGATGAAGGCGGCAGGCAAAGGAAGAGTGCTTATAATACCCAACAAAGAAATATGAAAAAGTGATGAACCTTTCGCTATACTGGCATTAGGAGTTAGGAATAATTATAATGGCTCACAAAAATATGAAAGTCAGGTTAACACCCACCACCGCTTAGATTTGGTGAGAATAGAAGAAGGATGAGAATCCATAAATAGTTCAGGAGAAGAAAAATTTATAATCGGACTGGATAATCAATTCCAAGCCCAAATCGAAATCAATCCTTATCAATAATTACTAATAAAATATTCAAACTTATGACAAAAAACAATATATAAACCCGCAAGAAATAAACAAGAAACCAGTTGAGGAGGTTAGAGAAGTAGAAAATAGAATAAATACTTATGAAGAATTTATTATTGCTTGTTGGTGATTACTCATTACTTATTGCGAAATTTCTCCTTATTCCCTTTTTCTTTCGGCGTAATAATATTTTACCGCTACCGCTTTATATCTGCCGCTTTCGGTAATAAACTAGTAATTAGTTCTCGGGCTTGCTTCCGTAAATTCTTATAACTAACTTCCATAATGGTTTTTCCCTCATTTTGGATTTGTTTATAACTAGCTTTTTCCATGACATAAAAAGGAGAGCAAGCATAACCAGTTTTTTTTAAATATTCTTGAATTACTTGGGCTTCGGTTTGGTTAGAAAGACGCATTGGCACGAATAATAACTTTTTTTTATTTATTCCCGCTTTGGCTAGGGCGTTAAATTCTTTGACGGCAGGAATTAAATCTGCTCGGCTTGCCCCGGTTGGTTGAATTAATAAATCAGCCTGTTTAGCAATTTCCAAAGTTCCTGTGCTAGTTCTGGCAGGACCATCAATGATAATCAGATCATAATTTTTACTTAACGGTCAAATTTCTTTAACTGAATTAAAGACTTGACAATTGATTTTTTTATTGATTTTACTTCATTCGTAACTAGTGGCTTGTTGGCTATCACAATCAGTTAATAACACGCTTAGTTTCTTTTTTTTGGCCTCTACTGCTAACGCTTGGGCCAGTGTGCTTTTCCCCACTCCTCCTTTTTGGGAAATGAATGCGATGATTGTCATATCTATAAACTATAATATCTCTTTCCCTTGCTTTCACCAAGACGACCGAGATACTTCACCAAGTCTAAAACAATCAATAATTTTTTATCAATATTTTCCATTTCTGCTTCGGTTAAACTGCCTTGCTTTTCTCCTAATAACCTTTCTACATCCACCGCCCGCACCTGTTCGCATTTGGCTTTGCCAGGCTTGCCTTGGAAAAGGGTAGGTGCTTGAAAAGTCGGTTTGATGTTGTGAACTTTGCTGGAAAGCGGAACAATTACCACCACTTTATTTTGTTCGTTTTGCTTGTTATTGGAAACTACCACGGCTAAACGCCTTTCAGTATCCTTGTCATTTTTCTGCTCGTGTCCTATGGCGTCGTCTAAATTAACATAGTAAACTTCGCCTCTTTTAATTACTCTATTCACCACGGGAATCTTTTCATTCGTCAGGGTCATTGGCTCACTCTTGGTAATCTTTGGCAATTTGTTTTTCCATTTCCTCTTTACTTAATTCTTTGTCTTGAATTATCTCGTTGTAAATAACTTGATAATCTACCTTTTTTTCTGCCAAGAGTGATTTTATTTTTTCTGCTTCGGCCGTTTTAATGATTAATAGTTCAGTCATAATATTATATTTTATACTATTTTCTATCTACCGCTTTATATCTACCGCTTTCTGTAATTATTTTTTTCCTTTTTGGTAACTTTGGGAAGTTTTTTGATAACTTTCTAGGGCTTTTTCTAGGACTTCAATCATTAAGCAATTTTCCTCAATGGCTAACTGTTTTAACTCTCTATGAAATTCAGGTTTGGCTTTTAAGGACAAAGGTTTAGTCCGTCCCGTAATTCTTTTATCGGAAGGGGCTAATTCCGGAGCCTGTAAATTTTCACTAGCTTCGGTAGGAGCCTCTCCCAAGAATTCTAAACTTTTTAGTTTCTTGCTTTTCATATATATTTATTTTATAGGTGCCGCTTTATATCTACCGCTTTCTGTAAGTTTATGAAAAATTTTTCATCTTCCGAGCTTTTTTTTAGCACTGCTTCCCCGCTATCCCAATTAATCCAAAAGGCTTAATTTTCCCTTTTGTCGGGATTCTGCCTTTACAAATTCCGCAAATTTTCTTTATTTTTTATTGTTCTAATAGTAATAGTTCTATCTTTTTCTCGGCTACTTTGACTGATTTACTTCTAATTTTATACTTCCCTAAATTTCAGAACTTTTGCCTAAGTTTCTCGCTAATTTCTTAGTCTCTTTTTGTTCTTTTTTAACATTATTTAACAACTTTTTTTGGTTTTTTTTGTTTTTCTTAGGAGGGATTGTTCTGTCGTTCAAGGTATTTTTCTTGAAAAAAGTTGATCATTAAGTAAAAAGTATGTAAAATATTTCATTATGACCAATTGGAAAGATATCCACCAAAATTTTACCCCAGAATTACAAAAAAAGTGAGAAGCA